TCTTGTGACTCTTCCTATCCACTTTCCACTTTTTCAGGGATAGGGACTATTTGAAATTGTAGATCTGAGTTGCCATTTTCTTTATGCAGCTCAACAAAGATTGGCCTCTGCCTGTGTGTCTGATACCATCTTAGTAAGCTCTGTCCTCCTCATCCATGAAACTCCCTTCTCTCCAATCCCTCATGAATCACTTTTTAAAGATCACATAATTCTGTGGGACAGTTTGGGTTATTACCCCCAAATGTCTACTCTCCCCTCCAATGGTGAATGAAATTTATTTCTCTACTACATGATTTGGGGTTAATCATATGGCTTGTTTTAGCCAACAGAATATTTGTAAGCATAACACAAGTTGATTGAAGTAGAAAAGAGCTGTTGCTCACTTCGGTCCTGCTAACGCTGTAAGAGCAACATGCCCAGGGTAAGCTGTTGGTGCCAGTAAATGAGAGATGTATTGCCCAGATCTGAACAGAACCAATGATCTGTAGTCCAGCCCAGATCAGAGCCACAGATGCATAGCTGAGGGAAGAGTTGGTCCATCAGCCACCATGACATTTGGGGTATTGCTGCAGAGTCATTTCTTCATGGAGCCAGTTCCCATCTCTTCACATTATTGTATAGTTTTCTAAAAAAAAAAAAGAGGCAATTACACCTAAGCATCTATCTATTATCTATCTATCTATCTATCTATCTATCTATCTATCTATCTATCTATCTATCCATCTGTCCATCCATCCACTGTTGATATCATGCTAATAATTTACCTACCTATCATTTATTGGTATCCTATTGATAATTTATCTGTAATCTATTGATACTCTAGTAATTATTTATCAATTTATATACATATCCTGTCTCCTCCCATTCATATCTATCTATCTATCTATCTATCTATCTATCTATCTATCTACTACCTATCTATATATCTATCTGTCATGTATCTGCCTTATGTATCACTTATGTATCTTATATCTATTAATAATCTTGATCAACATACATATTGTTTCTCCACACATCCATACATCCATATCTTCTATCTATCTATCTATCTATCTATCTATCTATCTATCTATCCTCTCCAACAAATATTTGTTAAATAAATGAATTTCTCAAGAACACTTAGGGTGTACTTTGTACCCAATCAATGCTTACTGAATGGAATTACTGAACCATCCAAACAAGCTTATATTGTGTGCTAACAAGTATAGCCATAAACCATAGTTGTCACAGGGACCAAATGGTTAGCAGTGACACTCCGTCCTCTTTCCTGCTTTGTCTGAACCTGCAAAAGGTCTTTGCTGTAAAAATACCCACACTGAAAACAGATGATGTGTCAACTCAGTAATTTAAACCATGAATCTGTACTTGCTTAAAGATGAACTTGTTTGGAAGAAAAATGAGAAAAATGCTTGTGTCTGTCCAACAGAGCCCAGGGTAAGAGCATCAATTTTGGTTCCTAGCAGGTCCAGGGCATAATAGAAGGAAACTGCTGAGCTCAGCAGCTGAGTGAGCCACTCTTATTTTCACAAACACAGTTTCGGGGATAGTAATTGTATCTATTAGCAAGGGTGACTCTACTGTGGGCCTGACAGAAAAATGAACTCCCCCATGTTGCAAAATGAGCAAAGTGGAGATCGATAAATCATAAAATTAGTTGAGACATCATCTATCTTTCTTGGCTTCTCCTCTATTCTTGTCACAGTCCCCTGGGACACTAATTCATTTATTGCATTTTTATCGTTGGGAAAACACGTCAAGGTTCGGAGACTGCATTCAGTTAGGAGAGCAGGGGCAATAATGTGTGTCATTAATTAGGCAGTTTGAGGAGGTTCAATCCAAACTCCAGTTTCAACTGATTTTCATAAATTGAGTTTCAGGTCTATGTATGTGTCTTTATCAAAAAGCAGTGTTATTGAAATATGCCCTGAGAGGGAGAGAGTGAGGAACCTGTCTGCTCACTCTAGAGAGGCAATAAATTTAGGAACAATCTAGGTGGTCAGCTAGATGCAATCTGCATTGTCTGAACAGCCTTTCTCCTATCAGCACGTAATCAAAGTAAATGTGGGACACAGCCTGGATTAATGGATACATGTCACTTGACAACTAGTTGTATGCCTGATCCTAAGAGGCATATAAGAAGCAGATTTTTGAAATATTTTATTGTAGTAAGATACTTTACATTATGATTTATTTTATTTGTATTTATGTGTATGTAAGTGAAGTTGCATTCAGAGGTCAGAGGGTGTGTGTGTGTGTCAGATTCCCTGGTGCTGGAATTACAGGCTGCTTGATGTGGTTTGTGGGAACCAAATTCCAGTCCTCTGCAAGAGAGCCCAAGATGTATGTTTTAAACACATTTACACATGTTCCATCCAGTGTTGTTGTCTATAGGCACTAAGCACAGCGTGTCTCTGCAATGTGTATTGATTAAATGAAAATTTACACTTGTTTATTAGTGACTGCTCATCTCTCTCTGACTCCTAAAAACCACTATTCCACTCTGATTCTTGACTCTGCCTGCCATAGATGCTACATGTGCAGTGTATGTCCCTGTGTGATTGGTTTATTTCACTTAGCATGTCACCCTCAGGTTTGACCTAAATCTCATGTTACTGACTTTCCATTTTTCAGTCTGAGCAATATTCCATTGCATGTGCATATTACAAGTTCCCTATCCACCCGTCTGTTGATTGATGTTTGAGTTGTATCCTTTTCTTGACTCTTGTGGCCAGTGCTGCAATGACCACAGGGCTGCTCATACCTCTAATATCCATTCTTGATATATATCCAGATGAGGGACTGCTGGATTATATGGTAATTAGAGTCTTAAATTTTAGTTTAAAAATCTCCATTTTGTTTTCTGAGGTGTCTGTACCATCTTTCATTCCCACCAGTGGTGTGTGTGAGTTGGCAGCTCTTGTCTCATCCTGGTAGCTATCCTGACAGTTTGAGTTGATGTTTCACTGCAGTTCCCATTTTCATTCAGTGATATTGGTCCATGCTGTTGAGCCCTTTTCAGACACTTGTTAGTGTTTGTTTAACTAAGAAACTGTGGGCCAATGAGAGGGCTCAGTGGGTAAAGGCAATTGCTGCCAACCCTGATGACTCAAGTTCAATCCCCAAGACTTATGTGGTAGAAGGAGAGAATCAATTCTTCTCAAAGCTGTCCTTTCACACACACAATAATTAAATATAGCATGTAGAAATGGAAGCATTTGTATACTGAACACTAGACTGCATTAAAGACACACATGAGAGAAAATACAGATAAATAGGAAGAAAGCTAATATTTATGGAATATTGAGTATTGTTAGGATACCCATGTTAACCAGTGGGAGATGTGGATCAGTGCAATCTCTATCAGGTATATTTCACTGAATATATAAAACAATCCATGCAGAGCTACAATGAGTAGTCAGACCTGTCTTGATGAGAAGAGCAAAACTGGAGGCTTCACACTTCTTGGCTTCACAACATATTGTGAAGTTACAGTAGCCAGATCAGTGTGGCATTGGCATAAAGACAGACATGGCCTGATGGTATAGAACAGAGAGCTCAACAAAAAAGCTCAAGTGTTCAACTGAGTGTTGACAAAGGGGCCAAGAGTGTGCAGAAGACAAACTATAGTCTCACCAACATGATATTAGGAGAATTGTGTGTCTACAAACAAACAAGGAATTTGAGTAAACTCCATTAGTTGCAAGCACTTCTCCCATGTTCCATATCTAGTTTATCTGCAAATGGCCCAAACCTTTTCCTTTTGTGCCTGTCCACTTTCACCAGAACTAGACAACTGGTTCTTCTGCCTTCTCATCTTGCCCTATTCTTCATATAGATACAAGAGTATCTTTAGATTGGGCCCAATTAGATGGCACTTCTAAGACTCCAAGGTGGGTAGACAAGCACAGGACTTAAGAATGGCAGCTACCACCATAGACGATGCCACAGTAGATGCCACTCCACCCGAGGTCATGCTGATGAGGCAGACACGGGTTATTTGTGTGTGTGGGGCATTTGCAAGAGGAGAGGTTCTCCTTTTAGATAAGAGTCCTGGGGTGCTGGAAGGAAATACTTGTTACCTGTGGGGAAAGGGGTTGTCCTCAGCATCCATTCTGCTCTGCAGGCCCCTCCCCTCACTGTCATGTTCGAAGCTTGATACATTGCCAGCTTTGCCTCCTGTAAGGGTGGGTGTCTGATATGAGGGCATGGTGCAGCACTACTGGTAATGAAATCTTTTAAAACATGTTTTAGGTGCATGTGTATCTCTGAGTGGGATCATGTGGGAGTATGTAGTGTGTGTGTGTGTGTGTGTGTGTGTGTGTGTGTGTGTGTGTGAACAGCATGCATGTGGAGGTCAGTGGACAGCCACAGGTGTGATGCAATTACCAATTTTTCTTGAGAAAGAGTCTTTGATAGGCCAACATCACCACATTGGACAGGCTAACTGGCTTGTGAGCTTCTGGTGGTTCAGCCATATCTGCCTCCTGTTTTGCCATCACTGGGATTTACAGGTCTGTGCCACACCTGGCTTTTTCAGGTGGGTCCTGGGGATCCAAATTCAGGTCCTCCAAGCTCATGCTTTGCTGACTGAACCTGCAAGTCTGATAACAAAATCTCCATCTCTTTGTTGATGAATTTGAAGAGGATGGGCTCAGAACAGTGTGTTCCATCGTGGTCTTTGATTCCCATTTTGTCCCCATCAAGGAATCTTGGTCAGAAACTACATGGGCCATATGGTCCCACAGACTGGAGTTTGAATCCCACCATAGCTTTAACATCAGCTTTATTATTTTTTTATTTTAAATTATGCCCACCCCACATATGTGCTTATTAGTGTAGCGCTTGAGGATACCAGAAGAGGGCATCAGATTCTCTGGAGCTTGAGTTATAGGTGGTTGTGCTGACCCTGTGTGTACTGGGAGCAGAACTTGGGCCCTTTGGAAGAGCAGTGCACACTCTTAACACTTGAGCCAACTTTCCAGTCCCTCCCTATGATTTTTGAAAATATGAAATGCTTCACAAATTTGTATGCCATCCTTGCACAGGGGCCATGCTCCTCTTCTATGTATCATTCCAATATTAGTATATGTGCCGCTGAAGTGAGCACTCTCCCCATGGTTTTTATGCCCTGTGATTTGGTAGATAATGGCTTGCATTTGGGCCCAAGGGGCTGCTGCTGTTGAGATTTGGGTTATTCATGTCCTGTATCCAGGCTCTTTCTATTTTCAAATTTTGTCTTGTTTTTGCAGACACAAAACACATGCATCATTGCTAACTAGGACCTATTTGACATATGTCCTCAGAGCAGGTAGAGGGTGCCTAATGGCCAGAGAAATGGTGAGTTCTGTCCTTAAGGTATGCAGGATGCTGTAAATGTTGAGAACCCAAAGCAGGGGACCTTTAGTTCCTTTATTTTAGAAAGATTGTTGCCTATTCCTCCAGATGCCATTCAGCAGGTACCATGTACTTTTTAAAAATATTTTTTATGAATAATTTTAGATTTATGGAAAAGTCTCAGAGATAGCCTGAGAATTCCTGAATTCATTCTTCATCCGGCTTGCTCCAGATTAGTAACATCATGTATCATCTGAGTATATTTGCCAAAACTATGAAGTTAACACAAATACACTGCCATTAACTAAGCTGTGGATTTCCAATTTCATATGTGTTACCATTAATCTCCTTTCAATATGAGAAATAAATTTTGTAGCTTTTTTTCTGGGCTAGGGCTGGAACGCAGAGCCTTTCAATTCTAGGTACTCCTTCTACCACTGAGTTATATTCCCAGCCTAGTTCCTAAGACCTTTTTATTTTTGAGATAGGATCTAATTTAAGATATCACCTCACACTTAGTAGTTTTGCTTTAAATTTAAAAAAGATTATTTGTTTGTGCATATATGTCTCTGTTACACTTGTGTATGCATATAGAGGCCAGGAGATTATATTGGGTATCTTTCTCAATTATTCTCCACATTTTTTTTTTTGAGGCAAGGTCTCTCACTGAACCTGGAGCTCATCAATGACTTGGCTAAACTGGCTGGCCAGTGAGTTTCAGGGATCCACCTATTTCTGCTACCCTAGTGATAGGGTTATAGGTATGTACCAACATACCTGGCTTTTTACTTGGCATGGTGGATCCAAGCTCAGGTATTCATGATTGAGTAGCAAGCACTTTACCAACTGAGTCCCTACCGAGCTCTGCATTCAGTAACTTAAAAAATAGGCAAACAACACTTTAAGTTCCTTACAGCCAACAAGCCTATTGACCATTCCTGTTAACTGCACCGACCAGGGTGGGCTTCTGTCATTGGCTGTACCTGCCAAGGTAGACCACTCCTGTTGACTGCAACTGCCAGGGTGGAATACTTCTGCTTTCCCTCTCGATATCCTTCCTCCTTGACCTCTGGAAAACTCACTTTATTCCTCTTACTCTTGTTCTCTTTGTATTCAAAGAATTTTTTTCGTCTTTATATGCACATTTTTTTGAGACAGGGTTTCTTTGTGGCTTGCTAATCTAAGTGAATACATACCTTCCATTTATTGTAGTCTTTTCTGAACCAAACCTTGTTAATTTCATCAGAAATAGACACACAGATGATGACTCCACATTGAGTAGTTATTTTAATGTGAGGTGGGAATTCTCTGTTGAATGTATCAATATTGATTTGTTCAACTATCCCCTGCTGATGGACATTAGGGTTGGTTTTACTCACTGAGTATTATAATACAACCACAAGTCAGTTGTGGTTTTCTTGGAGGGCGAAAGGAGGCTGGTAGGGAAAAACACGATCTTAGTTGAGAAGACAGCAGAGTCTTTGCTAGAACCTTTAAGACTTCTCTGGCCTTTTCCCTCAGGGATTATCCTTTGGTGATGGCTCAGACTGGGAGGCAAGCTTTGAAGATTGTATCCTTAATGATAAGCAAGGGACCCTGTAGCCAGGGCTCAGAGGTTTGCACTTGAACTTGCTTTCCAACAATTACTTAGGGAAAAAAAGTATGGTAGCTGAGGAAATAGACTGCAGTCAATACTGCCTTTTGTGCAGGTTTTCTCTTGGAATAAGGTATGAACCCTTTGCAGGCTCTATGGTCAGGCATAATTAGAGTCATCTTCTACAGAGACCGCACACTGTTCAGCAGTCTGGGGCAATGGAGAGCTGTGGAGGAGGCCTGGGGGACATTTGAGTATCGAGGCAGGTGAGGATGGATGAGGAAGCAGATATGTGTAGAATGAGGAATGCAGAGAGGTAGATGTGGACTCCTGTCCTTACACTGCAACATGCCAGAGGCTGTCCTTCCAGCAAGTTCTGTCAGGTCTTTGAGTCTTAGTTTCCTCACCTGTCAGATGGAGGTAAATATTTTCATAACATTTTACAGGAGCTAAATATGACCCATCAGCGCAGAGCACAGAACAAGGGCAGGAGGGCCATGAGGGAGGAACTGTGATCCTACAGGGGCACATGGGGAGAAGTTTCACTCTTTGACACTATTCCTGGCTGTGTGTTAGGTCTTTCCCTACTGGTGAGCCTGATGCTATCTTATTTTATTAACTTAATTTCTTGTATGCCACTTATTCACTGGCACTTATCTGTTGAGAACTGTGTCTGCCAGCACTTTTCAAGTCACCGAGGATAAGGAGAGGGATGAGCCATGGGTCCCACCCACTATCATTCAGTTTGCTTCTACTGTGACAGTTGACAATAAGCAACTCATTAATATTAGCCAACTGTATTTATTTATTTTTGTATATATGTATGTGTGTGCCTGTGTGCTTGCACGTATGGGAGCACAAGTATGTATGCATGTGGCAGCCCAACACGATCTACTGAGGCAGGGGCTCTCACTTGAATCCTGAGCTGGCCAATTCATCCCTAGCCAGCTTGCTTTGGGGGTCCCTATCTCCTCCTCCTAAGCACTGAGATTGCAGGTAGATTGCCATGTCCACCTGGCGTTTACCTGGGTTCTGGGTCTGCCCTCATACTTGTGTGACAAGTTCTTTACACACTGATCCATCTCCCCAGCCCCAAATATTTTATTTGAAAGAATAGCTGAAGTGATACAGAGTGGCAAGGACATGCCAGAGATCGTGGTACCTTTCTCAGCACAACAGCTTTATTAGATATAAAACTTATAAATAATATCATTTTCCCATCTAACGCACACAGTTCAATGGTTTTTGGTATGTTCACAGAGTTGTGCAAACATGAATACATTAGACCTTTGCCATCACTCCAAAAAGAAACTGTCCACCCAGAATGGGGATGCCCAATTTCTGTTTCTTCCTCAGACCATAAATTCATTGAGGTGACTTCTGTCTCTATGGGTTCTTCACCACAGACACTTTATGGAAACAGTCACTCAGTATGTGTTTCTCTGACTGGCTGCTGACCCTATTCAGAGTTCTAAGGTCTGTCTGGGGATCTGTGTGTACCGGTCCTCATTCTTTACTGCTGCCAAGGATTCTGTGTATGGGTGGAACACATCCAATTCTATTTATTCATTATCAGTTAATGGGCATGGGGGTTGTCCATGTTTTTCAGGTATTCTGGGCAATGCTATTGTGAACATTAGTGCGTCAGTGTTTTTGTGTGTACATGTGTTGTGATGCTGCTTAGCTTTGTCAGCTGAATACACTCTCCGATCACCTGGGAAGAGTCTCAGTGAAGGGTGGTCAACATTGGGTTGGTCTGTGGACATGCCCATGGATCAACTGGCTTGATTGCCCTCATGGTGTGGGGAGGGTAGCAGCTGCTGCTGCTCAGGTAAAAGGACTTGGAGGAAAGAGACTTTCCCCTTTCTTGCTTTCCTGGCCTTCATAGTCCTTGACAAGTTCATCTACTCTATTGTGGCCACTGCTGATTCTTTCCTGGATATCAGAGTTGGTTTCTTCAGACTCCCAATGTAGACTGAAGACCTTATTGATTCCTTTGCCAATATGAGAATCAGCTTCTTTGAACTTCCAGTGTGAGCTGAAGACCAGTGGGTCCCCAGGAAGCCCCAGACCTTCAGCAACAACTTATGATTGCTGGTGCACCCAGCCTCATGGAACAAGCAGCTACCAGGTCCCCCATCTCTTTGGTGTGAGACATCACAGTTGGACTGCTCCAGCCATATTGTGTAAGCCACAATATGGTAAAGGTCCCCTTTAATGTGTATTCTGTTCCCCAGAGAACCCAGGCTATTCGTATGTACACCAGACTTCTCATTCTGTGACACAATACCAAAGAAAACAACTCCAGGGAGGGAGATTTAGTCTGGCTCCTGGTTTCAGAGGTATCAGCCATGGTAGGTTGGTTCCATGTTTCTGGGCTAGCTACAAGGCTAAAGAGAATGGCAACACAGAGTCTCATATCATTCAGGAGAAGGTGTATTATTCTAGAACACTCCAGTGACCTACAGCCTCCAGCTAGGCCCCACCTCTGCTTTCCAAAATCTCCTCAAAAGTACCACTGTTTGGAAACCAAATATGCAGACCCTGAGACTGTGGGGAACATTTCCCACTTAAAGCAGAAAAATGTATTTTAATGTTCTTTTTTACTTAATAATCATAAAATTACATTTATTTGTGTGTGTGTGTGTGTGTGTGTGTGTGTGTGTTTGTGCATGCATACTTATAGATCAGAGGACAACTTTGGGAGTTGGTTCTTCTCTTCTACCATGTTGTTAGATCTGGGGATTGAACTCTGGTCATCAGGCTTGGCAGCAAGCACCTTAACCCACTGAAGTCATCTTGCTGGTCCTGGTTTTAATACTTACTAATATGTACTTATGATGTAATTTCTGGATCCCCTTGAGGAGCTTTCTACAGTAATGGTGCGACTTTACATTCCCACCATGAGAGTGTTGATAGTTTGAATTCACCTGTACCAGTGGTTCTCAGACTTCTTAATTCTGTGGCCCTTTAATAAGTTCCTCAGGTTGTGGTGACCCCCAACCATAAAATTATTTCATTGCTACTTCATAGCTGTAACTGTGCTAGTGTTATGAATCACAGGTTGAGAACCTCTGCTCTAAACCATCACCAACATGCTTGTCCCTTGCTTATCTGCTTCATCCTGGTGTTAAAAAAGTATACATCCTTGCCAGTTGGACTTGCCTTTTCCTGATGGC